GGGGGTGGTGGCCGCGGCGGCGGCGGCGGCGGCGGCGAACACCTTTAATCCCAGTATTCCGGAGGCAGAGGCAGGCGAAACTCTTGAGTTTGGGGGCAGCCTGGTCTACAGAGTGACTTTCAAGACAGCCAGAGCTAGACAGAGCAAACAAACAAACAAAAAAAACAAAAACAACCCTCAGGGAAGTATGCATGTGTCCTCCATACCCTGAAATTCAGTCTCAAATCTACTGCTTTTGAAAATATGTAGCAGGGTGGTGGTGGTGGTGGCCGCGGCGGCGGCGGGCGGCGGGGAACCTTTAATCCCAGTACTCCGGAGGCAGAGGCAGGCGAAACTCTTGAGTTTGGAGGCAGCCTGGTCTACAGAGTGACTTTCAAGACAGCCAGAGCTAGACAGAGGGGGAAAAAAAATAAAAGGAAGAAAATGTGGAAAATGTATGTTCAAGGTTGTTTTTGTTTTGTCTTCCCTTTCAGCAGCATAGTTTGTAATTCAAAAGACTAGAGGCAATCTGATCCACAACAATACAGATACTAACGGTATCTTTTTCACTATGTTAGATCACAATATTTAAATCCTTTATATTCACTATGTCCTTTCATTTTCTGTTTGTTTTTCATGACAGTAGCTAGCCCTGGCTGTCCTGCAACTTGCTTGCTCTGTAGACAGGCTGACCTTGAGCTAAAAACATCCACCTGCCTCTGCCTCCCCGTGCTGGGATTAAAGGTGTGTGCTACCACACCCAGATTGTCACTTTATTTTCGTAGTGCCCTTGTAAGATAAATTACACTTGTGCACTATGCTCCAGATCACTAGACACATGTTCAGTGACATTAAGAAATTGCCAAAGTTTGCGCAGCTAATAAACTACAACTCCAGCTCCTGGGCATGCACCACCCACTTCCTACCTAGGCCACCCACACACCTTGCATACATTCTCACAGATACACAAATAAAAAGAAAAGAAAAGATCCAATAATCAAATGTACCAGGTTGGCTTTATTAGGATCCTGGTATCTGGGGACTATAAGGAAAATTCTAAAACATAAAAGAAAATCCAGGGGAAAAGGCTGTAATTCTGTAAAGGCTGTAAATTCTGTAATATGATTATAACTTGGCTCAGCGATAGCCAATACACTGCAGTTTTCTATTCCTTCATACAAATTTGAGATTTTCAGTATGCCAAGTACAATCATGCACATGTATCTGTAACTAAACTCGTCAGAGTTTCTGCTTTATGTCATTTTACATTTGGAATCATGACTTGTTTTTCATATCCTAAAAACATTAGAGAGGCTAGAAAGAGTTAAAATAATAGGTGTATTTTAGTTCCACAAATATTATATCCAAATTCTATCTCTTTGACCTTCAAATCTGAGCGGGGGGAGTAAAAAATTTAAAAATAAAAACAAAAACACATTTGAGGGCATACAGCATTGAATTCCTCAGAGGCATTCCCTAGAACTCACTCAGACAGAACTTGGAAAATTTAGCCCAGTTCAGATTCTCAAGTGTACTGACCTGGAACCTCAGTGTTTGTATGGACAGGATAGATGGCGTTAAAATTTTTAATCGTAGACTTTCACATGTGTAGGCAGGGTCACTGGGGGGGGGGGGGCTCGGGAGATGAGAAAGACAAGAAAAGAAAACCTACCAGTGTGACTAAGCAGATGAATCTAACCCTCCAAAGAGGATGCTTCAATGGAAGGGCACAGGCCAGCAAGGATTTCCCTGCCCGACAGGATCCCCAGAAAACCTGACAAAACGTTCCCCAAAGACGGGAGGGCCTCGGGGTCATGCTGTGAGGCGGAGCTGTCCTTGACACCGCAGGACTTTGACCTCTTTGACCTTGCCTTGCAAAATGTGAAAAGTCAATTTTATGTTCCAGAGAAGCAAAACACCCACCTATCGTCAACACACGCCTCATGAGGACAGTAGACTTTCAGTGAAAATTAACATTTAACATCTGCAGTCAGAGGTAACTCTGGGATGAGTTAAGTTCCCACTCCTTAGGATCACATGCCTGCTGGCCCCGTGGTGTAATGATTAGTGCTCTGAACTTTGAATCCAGTGGTCCCAGTTAAAATCTTGGTGGTGCCATCTAGGTTTTTCATGATTGAGTAATATTACTCCTTGAATTTTACATGTCTCCCAGTATTAACCAACCCCTAATCCCGCCTACCACACGCTTTCACAAGTAGCGCTATCTTTCTCCGTCCTCAGAAATGTGAGCTCACATGTCCCAGCAAGGCCCGCAGTCAGAAATCCATACTGCAGGGAGCCTCCTCAATTGCTACAAACCCATATTCTGGTGTGAATGAGGAAGGGCACATTCATGGGCTCTCCTTATTCCTGGAAAAGAATACACGTGAATAAATAAATAAAATAACTAAATGTCCGACTGTGTCAAAGATGTGGAACTGAGGCTCTATGCTTTTCTAATTTTGGTTAAGAACTCACCTGGGGGAAGAAAGGCTCCTCTCAGCCACTTCAGCCCCACCTCACCCCACCCCACCCCACCCCATCTCGCTCCCCAACACCCATTCTTGGGCATCTTCCTTGAAGTCCACTCTTAGCTCTAGAAGGCTCTGCCCTGGCAGAAGCCAAACCTCTGGAAGACACTAGCCATCTGTGGTTTAACTGACGATTGGGGGGGAGGGGGGTATTGTAGGTTGTTTGGTTGTTTGCTTGGTTTTAGCCTAGCACACAGTCAGCAAAGGCTGGGGGCAATTGTTTCCTTCTTTGCCATGCAGGAAGGAGGAGACAGGACCTCTGTCTGAACTAGCTTTTCCTCTTCCTGGTCAGTAAGTTTCACTGAGTGCTCTGAGCAGGATCCGAGGGTGGCCCTGGAGACAGCAGGAGTAACAAGCTCTGCTGGGCCCAGAGAGTCTGCTGAGGTCTCAGGCTCCAGGTCCACCAGGGCTACACAGTTGGTCTTTGGAAAACTGATTGAATTAGTTAGTGTCTTCCCGTCTGGCTGGCTGTGTCCAAGGAAGAGTTAGGAGCCTATCCCCAAGGACCTCTTCCTTTGTCTCCACCCGAGTTTAGCAGTCAATAGTTCGCCCTCGCGTACCGTCTATGAAAAAAAATTAAAGGGGGGGGTGTCTTTTTTTGTATTTACTGTACTTTTGTTGTTGCTGCTGCTGCTTTTTGTTTTATTTTGCTTTGTTTTGTTTGTCTTTGTTTTGATCCTGACCTTTCTCGGTCGGCCTTTGGGGAAACCCCACTTGCTAAAAACAGTTGCCTTGAAGGAAATCCAGTTTTATT